CCCCGCCGCATTGTTCGGCGGCGGCTCCGCGGGGAAGGGGCAGACGCGAAGGCGCCGGCTCCGGCGGTGACAGCGGGGCCGGGGCCGGGGCCGGAGCAGGCGCCCCCCCGCCCCTGGAGCTCTCCTCCCCTCCTTTCCCCGGGCCGCACGGCCGGGCAGAGCGGGCTCCCTCTCTCTCGCCTCCCGGGCGCGGGCAGGTGAGGCGCGACCCCTCGCTCCCGCCGCCTAGGAAACGTGGCTTGCAAGTTGGCCGCGTCCCCGCAAGTTTGCCGGCCTCGCGGCCTCGGCCCGCCAGCCTGAGGGGGCTCCGCGCAGCGGGAGGAGGAAGAGCCCGGCTGCCGGGAGCTGGGAGCGGGAGGAGGAAGCGCCGCCGAGGTGGTTGGCGCCGGCTGCAGCCTGCACAAACTCGGGGTGAAGCCCTTGAGCCCCTAGCTGGAAAAGATGGTTGCGTGTGTCCGGTGCTCACAGGCCCAGCATGTCATGTCCCGTGGAAATGGATAGTCCAGGCGTGGCTGAGGAGTTTCCCTGGAGGCAGCTTGCCGTGAACCTTCACCTAAAAGTTTTCCTCACTGCAGCATTTCAGAGACTTCCTAATTCAGAGCCTGGCCCCTACGCTTCCTGGAGCTGGAGCAGGAGCAGGCCTGGCACCTCTTTGGGAAATGCTTAAAGGGACTTAAAATACTGTTGTACCTTGATACTTGGAAAGCATGCGTATAATTTTGTAATAAGGAAGTACACAAAGGTAGAGGTCATATTGTTGGCTAGACATGCTCATTGCAGCAGCGGAGTTTGTGATACAACTTTAATGCCAAAGCCTAATCAACCGGTGGTGCTTCTGGTGATATAGGTAAAAAAAATTGTGTTTAGTGATTATATATATTAGGGCCAAAAGACCCTGTGTAGTTTTGTGTGACTTGTGTTGAAGAATTTTGTGTGTAAAATTTTAGCTCTTTTGTGCTTGGTACTTTCCACCGTTTGTCCTTGTCCACTTAACAAATTCCAAAAATTGGACAGTAAAATGATTAAACTGTGTAGGAGACCATTGGAGGAATCTGACTTGAAAAACGGTGGTCTTAAGAGTCATTTTAGTTTTACTTTCTATATGTCTTGTGTCATGAAGTTCTTGCAGAACTATTTTTGTTTTGTAAAGCTGACACTTTACAATGTTTTCTCTTTTTCTCTGCTTCACTTTTTCTCCAGACTCCTGCAACAATAGGGCACCTACTAATTTAATATGCAGTATAAAATCCTTAACGCACTAAGTCAGGCCTGTCAAACTGAGCTGTCACCAAGTAATAACTACCCTCCTAAGTGAAGTTATGGGGGGCCTGCTAGATGGTGCTGTTCGATTTAAATGCATTTCATCTCCCATTCATTATAACTACCAGCTGGAAATATGTATTGCTCATATATGGATTACTGCATGTATAACACTTTAGGTGGATCACTTTTAAACCACTGACTGAATGATTACTAAACAGTAGTTTTGTAGCTCACAGTTATGGATGAACATAATTTAGAATTCAGAAAGAGTTGGCTGCTGCTGTGGAATGTCATTATATGGGCTATCTTCCAGATTGTTTTGTATTGCATCTTCTAAAGTTTCTTACTAGAAACATCTTTGTCATCACTGCAGTTCTTTTTTCTTCCCTAGTTCCATAATGTTTTGGTTTTGTCTTTCTTATGGGGTATTTCTAAAACAATTACAATACCCTTCCCAGGGCAGACACCTGAATCTTTGGTTCTCTTTGAGAAACGTCTTTCCAAGTTCTGTACAAAGTTGTGTTGAGTTCAGAACAAGGAAAATAATATGGATATTTGACTCAAATGATGTAAAGTATTTTTTTAATCATAGGAATGCAGAATAATTATTATGTTTGAAATGTTGACCACTGTTGTAAGATAAATTATTGAAACAAGATGCATGCATGTGCTTAGGGTGTTTTGTAATGGAAACTTATAGTGGTTGAAGGGTTTCTTTCTACTGAACCCACTTTAGTTGTTGATTGCTGCGAAGGGGTGGGGGGTATGCGTGCATGCACATCACGCGCTGAGTGATAGACACTTCTATTTGGGAATGTTTGCAGAACACAAAATTATTTCATTATATATTCTGTCAGTTCAAATTGTTTTTACGTATCCAAGATGCAGTGTTAGTAACAAACCTAAATGCACATGTAACCATTGGCTAATACAAACTATTGTTTAAATACACTACTCAGTTTACATAGTTGGGTCTCATTGCACAGAATGTGATTCTTGCCCAAGGAAATGAGTGCTGGTGACAGAAATTCTACACAAGGATAGGAGATTTTTGAAGTGTGGAAAAGGGGATATATACATTGTTCCTTTCTGTTCTTTTTGTTTTAATCAAGAGTTTAATGGATCTGTTATAGACGGATCCAGAGCAAGTGTTTTTCTAAAGAAATACGTGTATATATGCTATCATCAATTAACTTTTACTTAAAAAGTTATTTTAAGAAGAAATAGGTATATCTTACAGCTTCTTATATATCATTTATGGTAGCCTTTGGCAAGTTCTCAGTTGTGAAGATTATGAGAATTCTCTCTTGCATTCTCTCTTTGTCCCTCTTATCTGACCTCGGGGGCAAATCATCCATTTTAAGTATCTTAACAACAAATCTAAAGTGGATGAATAGAAATATTTCCTCTGAATTTAACTCTATACCAAACAGGTATAGCACAGTTAAGTAAAACACTAAAAAAGAGTAGTACAGTAGCTCTGAAGAACAAAGATTACAATGGGAAGATGAATAGAGACAAATCAGAGGACTTTTTTTTTCCTTAGTGAAAGAGTGGTGACTTGATTCTAGGGTCAGGCCACTCCACTCAAATAATGGATGGGAAAGTTGTATTCAACAATAGCCCCTCTAACATTTGTGCTGTGCCAACACCAAATAAGGTTCATCCACGTTGTTAGAGGAAAAGGACCCACATTTTTCTTAACATCCACTTTTGTTATCTCCTTGGGGCAGGATATGTCTTCTTGATTCCCTTGTATGCCTTAAAGGTGGATTAATTCAGACTAGGAGCCTACACCTACTGCACTGAACAACAAATCTCCATAAATTGAGTTTAGAGGGTGTAAGGTCAGAATCTACAGCTGTGTCTTCTTTATATACCTTTACTTACAGACTATGCTTTTTTCTGGCTAACATTAAACATTTGTAGATTTTGTTATATAAGTATTGCCAAACAATAAAAAGGAACAACAATGTAATAGAGAACTTAGATAAAAGGGTAATGTTATATCATAGGCAAAATTAGATTCAGATGAAAAACTATTCAGTTCTCCAATGTATGCAAATAAATATTTGTATTCCAGCAGTCCTCTTAACCAGGTCATCTCTAGAATACTTTCATCCTAGGGAACTCAGTGGGAGCTTTGGCAGAATAAAATGATCAGATGCCTGCTAATCAGAGATACAAGCCTACAGTTGAGAAACTTAATCCAAAAGATGGAAGAGTCAAAATAAATTACCCTAAGGCCTGATTCAACACTAATTGAAGATAATTGTAAATTCTGTATTGAGTTTAATTGTACGGGATCAACACCCTATTGAGGAGTCTAGTTCTTCTTCAGTCCCCAAGATGTAGAGGAGATGGAACTGCTGTCCTTGATCCACTCGTTTTTTGTATGAGCCTGGGTGGAAGGTGTCTTGTCAGTTTGATCCCTGCTAGCTGGTGGTTTGCAGGAAGATGGGGATTTTTTCTATCTTTGTTCTCCCCTGAGTTTGATGGCTGCTAAGTTAGGGAGAAGGTGTTCTCTTCCCTGTTCTTCCTAACAGTGTCTGCCTTAGTTCAGAATCTTTTCTTGAGCATGTGCAGAAGGAAATGAATGCTGTTTTGGTTTTTACTTGTTTCTGTTTAATAAGAGAGAAACTGACCAGTGCATTTGACTTGGCTGCTGTCTGTGGCAGAGGTTCTGGAGCTCATTGTTTATAAACTAGGGAAAACAGAATTGCATTGGTTCACATAAGAAAGGTTATCTTTGCAGCTATATGGAAGGGAATTTTTAATTGTTTTTAAAAATTAAAGCTTAGATCCAGACAGAACTTACAGTTAGGACTGTCTCACTCAGAAAGACACATTTCCTCATGACAAAGTCAATGAGTTTGTTTTTCAAACTATGATTATAGGGTATCCTGATATTCAGTTCACCCACATTTTTTCGTTGTTCTGTTGTTCTGTTACTACTTTTTATTTTTTGAGAGCCAGATTCAAAAGTCAGCTTTCCTTGGCTCAAGGCAACCTCAGATTGACTCACTGGCAGATTTTGGGTTCAGTCATTCATTAGCTGTTCATTCTAGAGCTCCTTATTTCACAAGCATTTGGAATGTATCCTGGGAAGTTGACATGGTAATGATTTCTGCCACCCTAAACTATTTTTAAGGCTGCAGAGGGCAGTTTTAAAACTAAATATGACAGCAGAATTGGTAGGTTGATCTCACTAGTTGCAAAATCCAGATTTGAGGTTACACAATGATTTAATTCAGCAGGTTTGAGTGTTCAGTATGTGGGCACCATGTAAAAAGCAATTGCTGGTCACAGGGTTAC